CAAAGTTTATCTGAAACTATGGGCTAAATATATTGGCTGAATATATGATTTGAAATACTTGAACACTGAAGACTTGGTTTTTGATAAATTATTTAAAAAATAAAAGAAAATCACATATTTATAAATATATCAAGACAACATATTGATATTGTTCCCATTTCAATTTACTTTATTTGAAGCTGTGGGCAGAAATCAATATTATTTTCACTTACAATACATTTATTTCTTGTGTAATCCATTGTGAGTGAGAATGACATATATATGAAGAGATAGAGATTTAGGGAGTCTTTTTAATCTAATTTTACATACAACTAATATTCTTTCAAATGGGTAACAATTTTCATCTGGCACTTCAGTTTATCAAAAATCAATGTCAAAAATGCACTGTAATCGTAACTTGAAAAGTGTTCTCCAAAGTTTCTCTCAGTTTTTAGTGTCTGCTAAAGATAACTGGCTCCTTCAAGGCCAGGTTCCCTGAAATGTCCTTGATAAAAAGTGTAACCTTCATTAAGTGCCTTTCCCTTAAGCTGAAAGACACTTCAATAACCTATTTGCCCAAGATGGGATTCCTAAACATGCAGGGCTTTCTTACAAGTTAGCTCACAAAGCTTTTGTTCGGTTTGCTTTTACTTAAACCCCTGTTACAGAGGCTGACATATATTTGTTCGTGGTATGAAATACAATTCTTACAAAAAAGAGCACTTTAGCCATATAATAAACTGCAATACTTTAATCATAGAATCGAATTGATACACAAGAACTGGTGCCAGTCTGTTCTCTATATTGAAATTCTTAACAAAATAAAAAACAATGACAACAACAACAACAACAACAAAAGGAAATGGGCAATGGGCAGGAGTATTTGATCATGTGTATATGTGTACAAGCTATTCCAAGCTAGAAGTTTCCCAAGAAATTAAGGTCAATGGAATAGTTTTGGTCATAGGGTCACTGCAATCCAAATGCTCTGTATGATGCTGTTCAAGCCACTCTAATATTGTTGTTATGCTTTGCTGTCATCTTCTTTTGATTGAATGATGTCATTAGAAACTTTAATTTCTATAGTTTCTGGGTTTAGGACTTCTTTCCCATTTTCTTCTTTTAAAGGCAATTTTCTGGAATAAAAATAAAAATATAATAAACTTCACTTGCTAAGGTATTTTAAAAGATATCCCGTCACATTTAAGTTACTGATCTGCAGAGGAAATATGCTACAATTATTAGAAAGAATAAAAATCAAATTTGTTAAATATTAAATTAATAGAAAATAATAT